AACGTTGTTTTGACCTTTGACCCTTGACCCCGACCCCCCGCCCCCACCCCTCTGTCAACATCTATCCTCAACCACCGTCCCAAACCATGTTTGGTGAAGTTTTGGACAATTTGGAAGAAAATGTCATTTGACCTTTGACCTTTGACCTGCGACAGACATACATACATACATACAAATGGATTTTCGATTTTTTGACCACTTTTTTTCGACATGACCCTCCTTTCAGTCGAGGGAATAATCATGAACTGATTCTTCAGGCTTTTGTCGACGTTGATTTATTTGTTCAGCTAATAAGTGTCGATTCTGTGTACGTTCTGGTGGAGGAAATGCTCGTTCAAATGGTTGTCAAAATAATAACCACGTTGCATATGGACCTTGATTGTCTCGATACCAATTAAAAGCAGCATCTTCTAATTTAATTCCAATGCGACTTAAACGATCAGCATCATTAACGTTGAAAGCATTAAATACAATTTCTGCTCGATCACACCATTCTCGTGAATTATCTTGTGAGGTTCCATTAAATGTTTTGATACTATCAAAAGCTCGTGTGAGTTGGTCAGCCATATTCCTAGGTGCTAAATCCGGTTGAAGATTATTTTGTTGAACTAGTTGCTGACGTGAACGTAAATTGTATTGACCAGCCAGTGTATAATTCAATAAGGTATAGTTTCTGTTGTTGTTCGATGTTGGAATCGGGTCACGGCACCAGTGTTACAAAGGTCCCTGTTGTGATACGGATAATGTATCCAATTTCTGTCCGTTTATTTAAGTAAAATCGAGTTGTATATATACTGGTGAAAAACAAAGAAAAGAAGAAGAAAGTGAATAAAGAAAAAGAAAGAATATCCCTGAACATCTTCTTCGTCCAGAGGTTACATGAACAGAGAAGATAAAGAGAAAGAAGAGACATGCACACAATGTATGCATACTGTTAGAGTGCTCTCTAACATCTATATACGATACAACCTGTAGAGACTCCTACCCAGGTCAACAAATCCGATGCTGGATCCGATCG